AACAATGCGGCGTTGAAGGTCCATAAAAGAGCCGATATCAGTTTATGCCTGTGTTCTTTGACGTAAACAGACCGGTCTGAATGTACTAAGTACTTGAGAATCTTTTAAAAGTTGAAGTATTATATTACGCTGGTTGTAAGCTCAGGAACGATGTATTGCGGAATAGTAACTTTCTGAAATACATGAGCCTGGCTGGAAAACGATCAACCCCTGCAGGGAAACGAGACAGAATGGGAGTACTCACAGATGAAAAAACGAAGTGGGCGCCGCACCATCTAATTTCGAAAATGGCTGATATTTCTGCCATCAATGAAGCTTCTGCTTGCCTTCAAATTCACTAACCAAGTCAAGAATTCAACATCGAAAAGCGAGTGCCGCTGTTTATCGTAATCTTGCATTGCTGCCTGGAATTAGATGCATATTGCGTCGATATTGCCCATTCTGTGCTATAAATTCGTCAGGAGAATCTCATAATGAAAACTGAAAAAGAATACACACAAGATGACTTGCCAGCATTGATGCTCGACAGCATATTCTGGAAATATAAACCATCAAGACTTCATACGACACAATCAGAGGACGTCGGACGGTGGACCGGGAATAATGAGATGCATGAGCAAGACGAAGATCATGATAAGGCGGGACCTGCAGTTGATGGTTACTCGGCGGAAGAAGTATGACAGATCTGGTTTGAGCGCTCTGCGTGTCCTGTGTAAATGCGTCGGAACTGTGACATTAGTACGCGGACATGATTACAGAAGGGCGTGAGACAGATTATGCCCGAGTGGTAGCGGAAAGGCAAGATATCTAGACAATGCTGTCAGAAACACTCGCAAGCTCATCATGAGCTCCTCGAACGTTATCGTTGCGTGACAATATATTGTAAGCAGAGAAGTTGAAGACTCGTAGAGAAACTCACAGAACACAACTGTTAAGGGCAGTCATATGCGATAATACATGAAAACGCAAATTACTGTAATATCCTTCAATTAGTAAGAACAGGTACTTTTTTGTAGGGGACTCTGTCAAAGAGTATGTGGAAATTGTTTTGATAACCTGATGCATGCTGTATGGCTGCAGCATGGCTCTAGCATTTGTCCGGGATAGTCTAATCATAGCTCACCACGAGAAGACACGCGCAACACGACTGCTACTTAGTAACTGCTCATTGGTCGCGTCTACAAGTCAGACTAGGTTGGGTTGGGTTAGTTGATGGACTCCGGCAACGGAAATGTATACGGCATGAAGGAGCGGATTTGATTAGGAGGAGGTAGCGGGGTTGCAGCGGTAACGTTAAAGTCAAAGCTGTGCGAACCCGCCCCAAAGGACAATAAACAAGGATATAAAAAAAGCTGTGCGAAGAGCTGAATTACCAAGGGTTACCACTGACCAGGTGGCACACTGGAGTCGATCAGTGAATCAGCGAGCCTATTCCCCGAGTTGCGAGCCCTTAGGTGACATCAAAACATTCTGAAATTTCTGCGCTGACGGACTGATGATCGGCAGGTAAAGTGGGCCAGCTGCCAGTAGTTGGGTATCCTTGGAAATTACCATCAACATCAGGCCACAGGATACGAGAAAGCCTCACCGACGGTCCTTCAAATAAAACGTTGTTCGCATCTGCTAAACCTCGCTGGCAGAGAAACGGGACACGACTTCCACATTACGACCGCCCACTATGCCAGCAAAAAAAAACGACTTCTAACACCCGTGTTGACCTTGGAGAATACTATGGGAGTTGTTTATTGTGTATCCTACGTTCCGAACGGGAAGCGGATAATCAGCGGGTCAAGTGACAAGACCACTCGTGAATGGGACCTAGAAACGGGCAAGGAAATCGAGGAGGCGCGGAATGTTTGTGAGCAGGAAGTACGTGCCATTGGGGTATCAAGGGATGGTCGATGGGTTGTCTCTCAGGCTACAGATTGGTATTCCATCGGGGAGCTCAAAGTCCGTGAGAACATTTGGAAGGCAGCTGAGGATCAGATGCGTCGATATCTCCGGGGACAGCACTCTGCTGGTGAGCGGGTCACGTGATGGTACACGAATATGGAGCTTGGGAACAGGCAAGCTTGCAGCTGGTCCGATCAAAAGTGCCGAGGGTGTGGGGGCAGTTCGATTCTCGCAAAATTCGAAGAAGCTCGCAGTCAAATCATCGTCGGGGAAATACCTTGAAGTGTGGGATATCCAATCACAAAAACTGGATGCTTGCACAGGGAAAATAGGAGGCTCGATTAATGTTCCAGATGTCCCAGTGTTTTGGACTACCAGAGACACCATCGTAACCACATTCAGCTTTGCACCCACCCGAAAGAATAAGCGCAGCGTCAGGATGTGCATGATCTATGAATTTGACGCGTCTACGCTGAAGACTATCGGAGCCCCCTTAAGAGGACACACTAGTGGAGCCATCACCGGTCTAGCACTTTCACTTGATTGCGCTCTCCTCGTCGGTGCTACTGGCGACACCATCAAACTCTGGGACTTGGGGTCCCACCAGCACCTCGCCTCATTCAAGATTTTATCTGTCCACAGGATTTTCCTCTCACCCGACTCGCGCCAACTAGCTTACACTGCCCACGGCAACAAAATTTATCTATGCAATATTTCCCCTGAGATCCTCACTAGCATTCAACCTGTACCACAAGTTAGAGTGCGCAGCCAACCTCGAATATCGTCCGTATACTAACATTGTCTTGCAGGCTAGTGAGGCTCCTAGAAACCTACCTCTCGCTGATGTACTCTTCCCTTTCTCTTGCTCATTTACTCCACACCATTAATCCCATTTTTGCAGTTGGGCGCTCTCTCTATCACCACGAATCAATTCAATAATGAAGCCCCGCCAAATGTGCAACAGAGCCTCCCTTACCCCCGTCGTGATGCAGGGTCCGAATCCTGGAGTGACAGACAAGTCGGAACCTCTTGCATACAGCCTACCCAGATCCAACCGCTTACTGACATGTGGCAGCAGCCTGCTGACATGCGATCGTTAACTGATAAGACGTTGGGGAAACCTCACGAACTAGGATTCCAGCCACTGCGCCAGGACACACTGCATTCTGACGCAGGACCCATGACAGATCTCCCAAGTACAACGATATCGCCTGCCATAGTTCTTCCCCATATATCACAGACACTCTCTTCTACAGTAGGTTCACGGTTACCCCAGTTACCCCCTGACCTCGACGAGCTCCTTCCCTCCTCTTCCCATACGCATACAGTCTCCTCTGTTCGTCATGATGAGCTTCACGATCTGCCCCCTGAATTGATGCTTCAAGACCTCACGGGATATATCATCAAGGACGAAGAATACCCTGTTGCTCGTGGCGGGTTTGGGGAGATCTGGAAATGCACCTTCAATATCGATCGCAGACCAACCAAAGTTTGTTTCCCGTTTTTAGTCTCTCCACCTGTCTAAAATTCATAATTTGCTACATAGGTCGCAGTGAAAGCATTGCAAGTGTACGTCGCCGATCAACTTGGTGCAGCAAAGACAAAAAAGATCAAGGTGAATTTCTTGATGAATGACTCCGTCTTTCCTTACGGGTTGCCACTTCGTAGAGGATAATACGTGAACTCAGAATATGCGCCAACCTCAAGCATCCAAATATTCTACGTGTTTATGGTTATACGTATGGCTTCGGCCCATTTGTAGCGATAGTCAGCCCTTGGGCGGGGAATGGTAACCTGACAGATTATTTGGAGCTCGAGGGTGTGGCTCTTGCTCTCGTTAGAAGATTCGAGATCGTAAGTACCCCGTTGTATTTGCAGACTACAAACTAACAGAAATCTCAGCTCAAGGATATTATAGCTGGTCTGCAATATCGTACGTGCTGACCATTCTCGGTGCTGGACCTAGAGTAGTGATATTCCTCACAGTTCATACAAATAGTGTCATCCATGGTGACTTCACTGGGGTAAGTTCGACCCTTCTCGTTGATTTCAATTTGATTCAGACGTGAGTTCTAGCCTAACGTGCTGATCCTTGATGATGGCACTGCATGTGTTGCCGACTTCGGTCTTTCCTTGATGTATTCCGAGGTCATAAGCGCCTCTCAGGCTTCCTGGACGTCCACGCTCAAAGGAAACATGCGCTGGATGGCCCCTGAGCTGCTTGTAGAGCGGGAGGATGGATCTCAAGTCCGGCCAAGCGAGCAGAGCGACATGTATTCATTCGGCGGGATCATGCTGCAGGTACGCCTGGGTTATTTTTTGGCCTCATTTATATCACGAGCTCCACTCGTAGGTCTTGACCAACAAAGCACCCTATTATCACCTCACGAATGATGCCGCCATCGTACTCTGCATAGCCAAGTCACAAACGCCTTCTCGATTTCGTTATCCTGAGCTCCCTGAAAACTACTGGCAGTTGATCGAGAAATGTTGGTCTACTGATCCTCAGGACCGCCCATCGACGGAGGGAGCTGATGTGATGATCAGGAATGAATTTTACTCGCTGTTGAGATTTCATTGATTCTTGAACTGTTTTCTGTATAATAACTTATTTACGGTATAATTATACGGACAGCATGAGGGGATGGTATACTGGACGTACTAGCACCGCATGCACTAGTACTGGCATCCTCGCAGCAGACCTCATGTGCGATATATTGTTCTCTACGAGTTGGCTGATATATCGATAACTTGAAGGCTGAAGACTGACGGAAGGCACAGATAGGAAACTGATATTCACGGCTGAAATTACAGTTGACTGACATGATTGAGCCAGACAGCAAGAACCATGGCATGCAAATACGTCACGACGCTCGACCAATCGCCCATGAGCTTGCTATAAAAGCCCTCCCACCGCGAAAGACTAATACAATGGTCGACACACACTTGTTGGAGGGTTGTCACGTTTCATCCTGCATGTACGAGTCGGTGTAAGTACCCTGTTGCCTGCAATAGCGACTGAGGCATTGTAATAAATGACATACGTGCACGGGGTTATGAAGGTATAGCGCTCCTTCAGGGTGTCTACGAAGACACCGGTTGCCACTGTCTTTCTGTGGAGTGCCCCCATCATGGAGCATTGTTCGATCCAATGAAGTGTGCAAATGTAGATGCAATTATAAGGTCTGACAACATAAGTAGCCGTAGTGCGCTGTTGGGATATCTGATATAGAAGCTGCCACATATCCGAATCGTTAATGATCAGAATCTAACTCAACCGAGTCAGTTTCAAGGCCGTGTCCGATGGAGTTTCCGACATTTGTCTTTGAAACCCTCAAGCCATGCCTGGAACAATGGTAATATATGGAAATCCCTCGCCGCGCTTACGAGCCACAGCGTAAAAAGCGCCACAACGCCGCATGCACTCCCAGTAGTTGCAAGAGTGATAATGGGCGTGGACGTGAAGACCTGGTAAGAGAACGCAATTACGAAATACACCATACTGCAGAAGAACAGGACTTTCCTTAGTAACGAAAGTCCAACAAGAATAAAAATACTCACCCCCACAGCAGCATGGCATACGGAAGTCCGTGCACCATCGCCAGAGATTTAGTGCCAAATACAGATCCTGTCACCCGCGTGAGGAATATAACCTGCGATGGTTTTGTTTCAGCGATATTCGATCATCAGTGCACCGTTCTTTGCTCACCGCTGTGTCGGCAAATTCCTGCCCATGCAACTGATTCTGTCTAGTGAGAAACAAGGACACGACCAGCGATCCGACGATGCAAAACAAGGAAATGTACGAGGTGATAACTGTAACCGAACTCGTATCCTGGGAATTCACGGAAGGTACAGCTAGGAAACTGACGTCCACTGCTATCATTACAGTTGACTGATATGATTCAGCGAAAATAAATGTCAACTGATGGGAATTGCAGTACGCACATACATCGTGATGCCCGACCATTCACTGCTCAGCTTGGTGTTAAAGTTCTTCCAGCGCGGAGAGTTGATGCAGCGATCGACCCACACTCGTCGGAGTTCTTCCATGTGTGACCGCGGAGCATCGAACAGTGCAACGTTGATGGCCCACGAAAGGGCCACCATAAACTTTGACTTCTTCTCCTTGACAAAAAGAGACTGGTCCGCGTCTAAACGGGCTTCACGGAGTCCGCAAAAATTGAAAAATTGAGCTCGAGCTGGTCGGGAGGTTTAAAGTCACATTATGCACGGCCGCGGCAGAACTTACTGAAATAGCGCATAAACCTGGCTGAAAAACATTTATTCTCTGAAGGGAAAAATGGTTGAAACATGATACTCGCCTATGACACATGTATAATGGGCGCCCTGGACGTTGTCTAGTGTCGAGAATCAGTGATGGTTCAGCCGCCATAAATAAAACTTTCGCTTGCCTTCAAATCGATCAATCAAATCCAGAATTTTCGATAATTCATCGCCGTCGAAGGGCGACAGCGACAAGTCCGTCGTAATAATCTCTATAAACTCCGTTCAGCGACACGTTATGAGGGTACACTGAGAAGGAAATATCACCAGCGCTAGCATGCACAACGACTTCCTTGAGTTCCTTGAGCAACTGGGCACATCGCAGCTTGTCACTGGGATACAGTTCGCAGTGTTGCCTGAAATCATATCAATCTTGTTTGTACTAATCCTGCACATTCTGTTCCATCGCTTTGTCAGAAGAATATAACGACCAGACAATGAACACACACAATGACAGACTTGCCAGTACTGATGCTGGATAGCATACTCTGAAGATGTTAAGCATAAAGAGCACGATGATATTTACCCCTGCAAGAGGACGTACTGATATGGCTCCACTTCTCAACGCCCAGAACTCCATCAAAAATCCATTTCGTAGATATCTCATCGAGCCAGAAAAGTAGACGGTTGGGGTGATCGACGAGATAATACCTGTATACCTTATCTTTGTTACGTTTCCTTGTCAACTCCACCACAAGCTCTATATCACCGCTGCACAGCTGCAATCCACACTGGTGAGTGAGCTGAGCGAGCAACTTCTCGATACACAAGGTCATGCTAGATCGGCGTTCTCCGTCCCGCATGTCCGAATCGGTGTAAATACCCTGTTGCCTGCAATAAGTGACAGAGGGCGAGTCGTTATAAATGACATACGCGAACAGTGTCATGAAAGTACAGCGCTCCTTCAGGGTGTACACAGGCACACCAGGTACCACTGTCTTCCTTGCTACGCTCCGTCATCAAGCACTGCTCGATCCAATGGAATGACCGGACTTACTCTGAATAGTCTCTCTTTCCAGCGGGGATATTCACAAGTTTGACCTCCCGCTTGCTGCGGCCCTATTTAGTCCATGGATTCATTCGAAATGCGAGAAGCTCACATTTGAGGGGTTTTGTTGTATCGCATCACCTGAGAGGGCGTGAATGGCCTGAACACCGAGTGGACTGAAGGTGCAGGATGCAACTGCTGGCCCAGATTAGTTGATGTCGGAAGAGCCTGAGTGTGGACTGGCAATAGTGAGACGAATGAATTGGCCGCGGACCCTGATGATGGCGGTGGCACCTGTAGCTGCACGGTCTTACTCGGAAGGAGGGAGGGCTGGAATGAGCCAGTAACTCGCTCTACACGCCCGTCTCTTTGAACGGGTAGGAACTGACACCTGCGAGAATATAGTTGCAGAAGGGCATGAAACAGACGATGTACGAGTCGTAACGGGAAAGCAACATATCGAGCCAATGCTTTCAGAAACACTCTCGATCGGTTTGTGAGCCTGCCAACTTCATGCCTGCGTGACATAGTGTTGGTACCGGACAAAGGATGTACAAGCTCAGGACATGAGGCAAGGAGTCCAGATTATTCAAACAGCAGCTGGACACTCCCGCTGTGCTTGCAAGAAATTAAGATTGAACTATACTGATAAGTCACAGTATTATGTAGGAGTGTCATAGCGCTCCGTCATCATCCGAAACATGGAGCCCAGTAAGATGACTATCACGCGATACTGAGAAGGAGTTTCAGAATATCTTTGTTTGCCCCTAAAGGCCAGGTAACATGGCAAGGCCACAAGTATGACTACGGATAATAAGGAAACATACGAAAATGAGACGATGCGGGAGGTGAGGAAATGCAAATGAAGTGTCAAGGACCCGAACTATCAGACGTCGCATCGAGGCGAGGTAGCAGCGGGTAACCAGATATAAAGATCAAAAGGAAAAGGCAAACCTCTAGTCGTCGCCTGCAGCCTCAGCCTCGTCTTTCGTATCTGGTTTCTCTGTAAGCCAGCTAAGAAACATAAATTAGATTGGTGAGAAGACGACGTACCCGAATCCTGCATGTCTGAAGTCCAGAGGGTGAGGTTGTCCCGTAATAGTTGCATGATGAGGGTCGAGTCCTTGTAGCTCTCTTCCGAGAGTGTGTCAAGTTCAGCAATCGCGTCATCAAAAGCCTGCTTAGCAAGGTGGCAAGCACGGTCGGGGCTGTTCAAGATCTCGTAGTAGAAGACTGAAAAGTTGAGTGCGAGACCGAGGCGAATGGGATGCGTGGGCGGTAGCTCTGTGACAGCAACTTCCGATGCATCCTTGTAGGCACCCAGGGACTTGTCTGCGCTGTCCTTGCGCTTGTCGCCAGTGGCAAACTCTGCGAGGTATCGGTGATAATCACCCATCCTGTGGGAGGATGACGTCAGTGAATGGTAACGCGTGACACTTAAGAGAACGTACATCTTGTGGTAGAACACCTTCGACTCGCCAGAAGCAGCGGAAGGAATTAGGTGCTTGTCAAGGACATCGAGGATGTCCTCGCAGATTTTGGCGAGCTCGCCTTCGATCTTCTCCCTGTAACCCTTGATCATAGCTACTTGAGCCTCGTTACCCTTGGACTCCTCCTTTTGTTCGATCGAAGAGACAATGCGCCACGATGCACGACGTGCACCGATAACGTTCTTGTATGCTACGGACAGAAGGTTGCGCTCTTCGACGGTCAACTCCTGGTCCGACGATGCCACTCGCTTCATGTTCTCAACCATTTCTAAATGATTGTGAGTGACTTTTACAAGCCAGGCATGTTGGTTGAAGTACCTTCATAACGCTCAGCCTGCTCAGCGAGCTTGGCGAGGTAGACAGAGTCCTCACGCGTTTCAGGCATCTAAGGAATAGTTAGCAACGTGATTCGACGCGTTTAGGACGCGTCAAATACTCACTGTTGTATGGATTGAGGATGAGTATAGAAAGCTAGAGAAAAAGTAAGACTATGAGCAAGGCAAGTTTGTCGTTGAGGGAGACGACGAGGACGAGGACGTACGAGGAGTTGAGGATGGTGGTTGTTTAGAAAAGAGGAGTGTTGTGGAAATATTAAATTGTGAGCTGGGCAGAGGGTTCGGGTATAGGGCAGGGTCTAGGGTATAACCAACTTTGGAATATATTCTCACGCCACAATCACCTAGATCTGTGTCTTTGATTGTTGCTATTGTCAATTCTAGAACCTCGTTTGTGTCATATCTCTTGTCGTCGTCTGCCTCGTTGTTCGGCCACCTTTTGATGTTGTGCTCCTTCATTTTTATTGTAGGTGCGGCGGCCTGGTAACTCCATAGTAAGTACTCGGATTAAGGCAAGTTTACTCGTTTTTGTGTTCTTATCAACTAAGCGCTCAACACAGCCACGAACACCGCCAGTCACCAATTATAGAATTCGCTGCTCTCCAGACGTGCTATCATTGCCGTCATGAAGCTCCATCATGAACGTTACTGCGACCCAGGCGGTGATGACACTGACAGGCTATACTCCCACTACAACGTTTTTATCCTTTCACACGACCGATCTTATCGCCGTGGTATGTATGTAGGTTCTATGCATCTCAGACGTCCTCTGGTCATGCCACTATCAATTTACCCGCGCGTAATCTATCCCACACAGGACCGATGCATTTCTCCGCGCTTAACGGATTCGAGCGAATGCAGCGGCCCGCGCTCGTAGGAACGACCGTCTTCTATATGGTCTGACTTCGGGAGACTAACCGCGGTTATACACGACGAAGTCTTGTAGGGAAGCAATCCCCTCATCGGGTTAATGCGCGAACATGCTCTACGTCAAGTTTCTACATTACTTGCAGTGTCATTCTTAGACCCCGCCTCCTTCTCCTACTGGCGTAAATTTAATTCTACTTATCTCTGGATCCGTGACTTATCATCCAGTACTTGTTGAGTCGCCGGAGCGGATGGCGAAATATATTTATGTAACCCTTCCTGTATTTGTTGTCCCCTCTTGACAGCGAAGGCGGTCTTGAAAGCGGCGTCGAACAGTTTTCAGCGCATCGGTCGATCATTGTGTGCCGAAGGCAGAGTGTTTTGATAACGAGAAATTTGCAAGCATAAAGGCAAAGCACAGATCGATGACAGACATAGCCCATAGGAATTTAGCCTCCATTGAGCGGACCATATGGAACGATCGTTCCTTCTTCATTACGCGTTTCACAACGATCGCGGGCCCGGCACGTTTTCACGATAATATCAACCTAGTATCTCCACCTCAAGTCATATTAATTCCCCCCATCCAGACCATTACAAGGAGGACGATTGGCTTCACAGGGTTTCACTAGGCTTCAGCGTGCCCGTTCTAGTAATGCTTCCCTTTGCCCTAGGCAGTTTGTGTTGGAAACCTGAATTCAAGAGTACGCATGAGTCGTTGACAGGGCGGAATAAATATACATATACATCTCGTCTGCGTATACATAATGATGCAGTGTCGGGTATCCCATCATGTTGTGCTCGGAATGGGGATATTAACCTCGACCAAGCCCATCCCAAGTTCCTGCTACCGGTGAAATTCATGTCAAGAGGAGAGGCAGTTTCAAGCTTGATTAAATTGGCTGATCTGTGTGCCGAGGTATCTGTCGAGTACGAACATTTGCGGAATGGGGTAAAGCCGGCCGACTTGAGTCACGTCACTTGACCTCGATCCGAGGCACTTGAGACATCTTGAGCGAGTAGTTGACAGTTCCAAGAGCGTGGCCGCTCAAACACCTAAGAGGAAAAAATATATTGATCTCAATTTGGATGGTCGGACACAGCGGACACTCGAGTATGACACCATAGCATACGGAAGCAACCGGCGGACGATGAGAGGGAGTGATACAATCACAAATAGAGGCTAATCAGATATCTCTAGTAGCTCTTTATCCAACCGCACATCTCGATGACCCGTGAAACTCTGACGATCTAGCAATAACATGCGAACTGTGATGTTTTGCAGCCTCGCCGGTCCAGTCGAGATTAGAAGGGTTACTCAACTGCATGATAGCCCAGCCTGCAGAATGTACAGTCCCTACACGACCTCCAAGTCAACACCAAAAATACCCAGCAGCAAATATGCTACATTTTCAACCTTGTTGTTTTGCGTCTGGTTTTCCACGTCATGCGCATCGCACGGACCTGGATAAAGCTTGCGTAGATGGTGCCGGTGAAGAGGAATGCCGGTGGCTTTCGATGATCAGAATTTCCAATATGTGCAGGGCTCTTGTCATTCCATCATATCTGTCAAGGGTATCCAGGCTTGTCGATCTTGAAGCTGATCTTGGCAGGTGCAAGGGGGTCTTGTGATGTACAGCCCCTGTCGTCTATTTGCCATCCATTACATCCTCCACGGACCAGATGGATGATGCAAATGGGCCGAGTTGGGATGCCACCGAAATATGGAACGCCTCGGCTCGTCGAGCTCAGTGTTAATATCTGTTTGTCAATGCGGCAGGTATCTGACCACGCAAATTCTACTGGCCTTCTCGCAGAAAATGCAAACTTTTGGAGCTTTGCGAATCCCAGAGCTGACTTGAGCCTTTTTTCTTCAAGAGTCACGTCCCCTTTTTTGAATCACCGGTGAGACAAGGTGGTGTATCAGACGACGCCCGAGTGCCTACACCATGAAGACTGGATGAAAGTCAGCCTAAAGAGCTTCCTCACGTCATCGAGCTCAACCAAAGCCACGTCTGATAAGCGTATGAGAAAGATTGGGGTGTCATTCATCACATATTCATCGAAGTTGAGTAGGTCGTTTGTCGTACGACGCATGATAGGTCACTATCGACTGCAAACCAAACTGAATGTCGAAAAAAATGGTGCGACACTCGACTCAACTCACCAGCTGGAGATCACGAGATGTTCCAACGCATCAGAAGGCTTCACACAAAAGCTCCCCGCGCTCAAACTCAATCAACTACAAATAATCAGGTGAGACTTTAGCGTCTAGGTTACAATAACATCCTCACTTACCTCAAGTAAGTAGTAATTTCAAGGCAGTACATTTTTCATCAGTGTCAGTTCCTCAAATGAAACAACATCTTCGAAACATCACCTCAAGCTCCATGGGGAAGAATGAAGAAATGTGTTCCGTATGCTGTGAAGATGCTGCATAGCCTCATGAAGAACAGTGTTAGCACCGCATATTTTTGTGCTCATCAGAAGAGGTATGGTCTCATGTCCGAGCAGACCCCGTGCAGCCCAGGCCTGATGTACGAGAGCACTCCCGTGACCACTGATCCATCATTTATTAAGACATGTGGGCAATTGAACATCCTCGACGGAATAGCCTGACACTCGAGCAGGTGATATGTTCGGTGCCAGAGCGGAGGAGATCTGATCATCGTTTTGGGTTAAGCCCACCACTTCAAAGTTCAGTACCCGGTCCCGACGTGTTAGAAGTTGCAACTCACCCATATCAGGGCTTGGGTTATTTTCACTACGCACGAATGCTGCATATGGACACCGATGTCATGATCTGTGCTCGTGCAATTCCCGTATCTGTGTTAGTTACTTATGTGAACAAAGGGGAAAACTAGATGAATTGTTGGCAGAATTACTTATCTGAGCTAGGCAGAAGTATTATCGAGTGGCATGATTCGTACATAAGTCCGAAGGGTTAGCTTAGACCCGAATGATCGGCCCGCAAT